GGGGGGGGGATAGAGAAATCAGTTTGGAACAGCTGGTATCTGTCACCTCCTTTATAATAGTATCCAAAAATATTGCCTTTTATTTTGCTTTGTTATTGTTTTTATCTCCCTAAAGTGGTTTGAAAGCTGACTTGCTTTATTTTGATGAAGAAGAAGATGCTTTGCAAAAAGTTGATGCTGTACTTTTTAAAAGAATGGATGCAGAAATAAAAATATACAAACAAACATCGGTATAAACACGTTTCCGATACATGCATTAACTAACAATTAGCAATACATTTGTTACAGTATTTATTAAAGGTGCAGTAGGAGAGCTCGGAAAATGCTAACTTTAGCCTGATAGCACTGAAAGTGAACATCCCATCCTCCCTGCAATCGGCGTCCAAAGCCACGGCCCCTGAACGCATATACTCTCACAGACCAGAATATCAGAGACAACATTACTACAATACATCATGTGTCATTCATCTGTGAGAAAACTTTATAGTACAGTTAGTAAAAGTACTACATTACCAGGAAGGAAGATCAGGTTGTTGATGTTTCCCTGCCATTCTCGCTCTGTCTGCACAGCGTATGTGAACGCGCTGATGACGTATCGTGTCTGCGCGAACAGGGTGCGCAGAGGTATGCAAATACATATTTGACAGGCAGGTAGGAAAGCCAATTAAAACACTCGGACCGAGCGTTTTGATTGGACGAACATTTCTTGGTCCTACGCCTTCCACAGAATATATAAATACATATGAATACATTTAGACCACTTAACTTAATGATTGCTATCGGGATGTGAAGAGAGTTTCAACAAGCATAAAAAAAAATGTTTCTGAAGACAATCACCTATTGCACCTTTAATCGTTGTTAATGTTAGTTTTGTAACAGCAGGCTAATTGTAAAAAAATTTAATAATGCATTAGTAAAAAAATTTTAATTAACTAAGATTAATACATGCTTTAGAAATATTTTTAACTGTTAGTTCATGCTAACTCATGCAGTTAGTTAACATATACTAAATATTACAGTGAAAAATACTTCTAAAGCATTTATCTTAGTCTAGTGGAGTCTTATTGTAAAGTGATACCAAACAGTCTAAAAGAATGTACACTATATTCCAAGCTGAAAATGTTTGAAATTACATGAGAACAGAATTTCCATTTTTGGATGAACTGTTTCTTTTACTGTAACAGAGCAATAACTGAATGACTGATGAATACCAAAATCTATGTAAACATTTAGCTAACTGACCTATGATTTCAACACAAATGTGTTCATACATCTTTAAACCTGGAACATCTAATAATACACAGTTCACCTGTAGTGAAATGTTTTGAAGTTAAAATACTGTCTCCTATCCCAGCTTCATATGCATAAGCCATTCTTAGGTTGATTGCTCCAAAAAGAGTAAACACTGTGGTTCTGTGTTGCCAGTTGCAACCTGACTAATCATTTTATTTCTTGCACACAACAGTAAATGTACTTTTCATGTCATCAGTAGCACCCAGCATTTTATTTACAGAACACTCATTTAGTGGAGGATATTTTGTGATTACATTTGGACGCTGCTTCTCTGCGGTGCATAAATGACACACTAAATACTGGACATTTCAATGTCTTTTACAGCAAATAGTTTCTAAAGCAGATTACTTGACAGGGACTTTGAAAATGTTTTTGATGTGCTTTCAGGACATTAGTAATCCACTCTATCCACATTATTCAATTATTTCCTCATAATAACTCAGGTGAAGAATCAAGGAATGAAATATCTGATTCTGCCTCTTCAACTTTCAATAACCCTGGACTTAAGTGCACCTTCTGCCTTATTGAAAAGGATTTAAAGGAAGGCTAATTTTATTCCCCCATCACCACCGCCGCCGCCGCCGAAATGTACTTTTCATGTCATCAATAGCACCCAGCATTTTATTTACAGAACACTCATTTAGTGGAGGATATTTTGTGATTACATTGCACGCTGCTTCTCTGCGGTGCATAAATGACACACTAAATACTGGACATTTCAATGTCTTTTACAGCAAATAGTTTCTAAAGCAGATTACTTGACAGGGACTTTGAAAATGTTTTTGATGTGCTTTCAGGACATTAGTAATCCACTCTATCCACATTATTCAATTATTTCCTCATAATAACTCAGGTGAAGAATCAAGGAATGAAATATCTGATTCTGCCTCTTCAACTTTCAATAACCCTGGACTTAAGTGCACCTTCTGCCTTATTGAAAAGGATTTAAAGGAAGGCTAATTTTATTCCCCCATCACCACCGCCGCCGCCGCCGCCATTTCTTTCAGAATTTGAATGTAATGTCGGGCGTCTACGCAGTCAGTGAAGTAGAACCGAGCATTAGAGGCCTTGATTGGCTGATCCTTTAAAGTGTTGCGGTAGTGTCTGAATCCTGTTAATGCACCCTCACTGAGCACTTCTCTCCCAAGAGATTTTTTTGCCTGAATTGCCATGGAGATCCCTGCACTTTCATCCATTAGCCACAGCATCATTTAAAAAGAGAGCTGTCACTTGAGTGTTTTACACCTGCACCCTTATAGATCACCACTGCTGTATAAGCTGAACAGATGAGAGGTGGATTGAGAGCCACTCCAGCCAGAAGCAGTGCCACTAAATAGTCTAATGACTATATAGTTACTCTGGCAGGCCGGCCCCTCACTAACATCCTCTCAATAACTTCTAGTGGATTGAGAGCCACTCCAGCCAGAAGCAGTGCCACTAAATAGTCTAATGACTATATAGTCACTCTGGCAGGCCGGCCCCTCACTAACATCCTCTCAATAACTTCTTTCTTTTGCTGGCTTTGTTATTTAAGTTCTTTTGACTCTCCATAGCAGGTCTGTGGTCATTATCAATGAAGAAAAGAATGGGGATTGAGGCTGAAACCAATACCCAATTAAATGCTGTCTATAAAACCAGTCAACCAGTCTTTAATGAACAGTTTGTTAATTAGTTCTATTGATTTCAGAGCTGGGTCATTCTCAGGAAACATTGCTATTAGTGTCTGGTAATTTCAGCAAGGTGGCCTACATATGCTGTTGAAAATATCGTTCGACTTGGAAATTGAACATACCCCCATTGTATATTTTATACTTGCGTTTGGATGACAAACAATGGATAAGACAAATGTTCAGTAGTGAATGGTAGGTTCATTAATTCTTCAAAATGCTGTGTTATCTGTCGCAGTTTTCAAGTAAAAATTGATTTATAGTCAGTATTCTTGTGGTTTGTTGCAAAAACAAAACATTAACATACAGGTATATATAAAAAATGTGAGTAAAGTTCATTATTATATTAATTAAGTTCATTATCCTCTTAAACATCCAACAGCAACAAACCCTCATCAATCCAGGCAATATCACAAAACTCCTCTCCCCACCACTCACATGCTTACTGTAGGTCTAGAAGCCCACAAACACAGAGGCGATGCAGTGAAACAACCCACTGGAAATGGAATGCCACTTGATCAATACATAGTATAATATCCTTTATTGGAAACATTATTTATAAGATACATTCTCTAAGTTTAACTGCAAAAAAACCTACCTTGCATTATACAGTGCCAGACATTTCCTCTTGTATTGAGAGTGTAAGATAATTGAGGTGATTTTGCTTTACTGTGGAATGGAATGGACACATCCTTCAATACACACCATGACTATTAAGGTTAAAAATGTATAAATACTTAGCGAATGCTAGCATATGCCTATAGCCCTATTAGTTAGTTTCTACTGTAGATTTGGGTGTTGGATGAGGAACAGAGTGTGTGGGGATTTCTGTACAATTTACTGAAACTGTAGAGAGATAAACTGTAACCAAAATATGCATAATAAAATGGCCTAATTTGTCATCTAAGTGACGAACAGCATTTGTTTGCTTGTTGATTATCTATATACTTGCATAGATTCCACAGTCCCTGGCTGGAAGCACAAGTTGGAATCCAAAAGATTTTATTCATGTCTAAAATATGAATACCATCTCACATTCACAGGCATGTTACATCCCAGCATTTTAAATGCAATACAAATTTACACTGTATATTAACATAAGGCTGGCACAGCATTTTTGAAGAACTGTATTGGAACCTTTACTCTACATCAAATCATTACTTTTTTTTTTCTCAGATGGGGAAATGTCTACCATTATGCACCCAATAAAG